TGTTAGTGAGCACTTCTCCTTTGCCGAGATTATCCATCCACCTCACAGGTGTGGTATATCAAGATGCTGATTAGGCAGCATGATTATTGCAAAGGTGTGCCTTTGGCTGGCCACAATAAAAAGCCACTCTAAAATGTGCAGTTTTATCTAACAGCACTATGCCACAGAAGTCGCAAGTTTTAAGGGAGCATTCAATTGGAATGCTGACTGCAGGAATGTCCACCAGTGCTGTTGCCCGTGAATTGAATGTTCATTTCTCTACCAATAGCCGTCTCCAAAGGCGTTTCAGAGAATTTGTCAGTACATCCATCTGGCCTTACAACCAAAGACCACATGTATTTACAGTGGCCCAGGACCTCCACATCCAGCAACTTCACCTCCAAGATCGTCTGAGATCAGCCACCCGGACCGCTGTTGCAACAATCGATTTTCATAACCAAAGAATTTCTGCACAAACTATCAGAGGTGTTCTCTTCACTGATGAATCCCAGTTTTCACTGTACAGGGCAGATGGCAGACAGTGGGTATGGTGGTGTGTGGGTGAGCGGTTTGCTAATGTCAATGTTTTGGATCGAGTGGCCCACGGTGGCGGTGGGGTTATGGTATGGGCAGGCATATATTATGGACAACGAACACAGGTGCATTTTATTGATGACATTTTGAATGCACAGAGATACCGTGATGAGATCCTGAGGCCCATTGTTGTGCCATTCATCCACGGCCATCACCTTATGTTGCAGCATGACAATGCATGACCAAATGTTGCAAGGATCTGTACACAATTCCTGGAAGCTGAAAACATCCCAGTTCTTGCATGGCCAGCATACTCACCAGACATGTCACCCATTGAGCATGTTTGGGATGCTCTGGATCGGCGTATATGACCGCGCGTTCCCGGTCCTGCCAATATCCAGCAACTTCGCACAGCCATTGAAGAGGAGTGGGTCAACATTCCACAGTCCACAATCAACAACCTGATCAACTCTATGCGAAGGAGATGTGTTTGCATTCCATGAGGCAAACGGTGGTCACACCAGAAACTGACTGGTTTTCAGACCCCCTCAGACCCCCTGTTCCCCCGTAATTAAATCAAACTGCACATTTTAGAATGGCCTTTTATTGTGGCCAGTCTAAGGTACACCCTTGCAATAATGATGCTGTCTAATCAGCATCTTGATATGTCACACCTGTGAGGTGGATGGATTATCTCAGCAAAGGAGAAGTGCTCACTAACACAGATTTAGAGAGATTTGTTAATAATATTTAAGAGAAATAGGCCTTTTGTGTACATAGAAAAGGTCTTAGATCTTTGAGTTCAGCTCATGAAAAATGGGGGCAAAAACAAAAGTGTAAAAAACAGAGCGAATTTAAGTGTATTTCAAATTTAAAGCCAAAACAACCACTGGAAGCATAGCTTCAGCTATTGTGAATTCTCACTTTAATAACCTGGATGTTTGTGATTCCATGTATTAAGGGAAGGACTGGTAATGTGTGGCTTTGAGGGGCAAGTGCAAATATATATGGCCTTGTTGTGTACAAAACTCACAGTGGGAAAAGTCACAGATATCAAATTTAACATGCTGTATGTACACTTTTATCAAATGGAACCCTCCCATTCTAATTGCCAAGGGGACAAATGCTACCCTACCCCCTAGCTAGCCTTCCATGCCTGTGTTAATATTACCATTCATGGCTGGAGGGATGTCAATTTATAGTTGCACCTGAAGCAATACTAGCAAGTGATCAACTCTTGTATTGATCATTTAAAGCAAAGCACAGCGAATGGACAACTAGCTTTGAAGACCCACAAGTTAATTTTTGATTAAATGCCTAAACAATGAAATGGGCCAGTTTTGGTGCACCATCCCCTCTTTCTCATGGAGAGGCATTTACATGCACAGTCGCATATCAATCTGTTGTGATTCAATGGAAACAGTGATATTGGAGCCTTTGGAGTTAAGTATTGATTATAGCGAGGACCCACGGAAGGGCAGGCTATTTGAGTTGTAGTCTGTTCTCTGTATTCACTTGCACCATGTTTTGCTCTCCCTAAGTTTAAAGGCTAATCAAGACATGGACCCCTTGTTTATGGTGCCTACAGAGATATGAGCTATACTTCCCTGACAATGCCTAACAAGGTTGAAATAATGATCTGGAATTGGTGTCAGACTCCTACTTTTATCAGTGTACACTGAAAGAATTCTTATTTGTTTATAAACATATTCCAATGTTCTTTGGAAAAAGTAATATTTGTGGACCAACTAAAACAAGAAGTCATGAAAAAAACAATTTTGGGGGGCAAAGTTATTGTCATACAGTTACATTTCAAGGAGATTATATGGATTTGGCATTAGTTCAATATGCTAAATATTCTAGAAACAGAGAAAAGAGGAGAAAACCAGTAATGCTGTTCCATGTCCTCATGTTATGATCTTTTCCCATAATATAATAAAACATATTTTGATGTGCTAGATTAAATCAAATTGGCATAGAACCAAACTATGTGAATTTTCTGGCATTATCTCTACACGCAGACTTGAAGAGATATAACTTTTCAGGAACTGCTGTGATTTATTTCTTTAGCACTTTAATTGGTTTGACTTTCTGGTAGAATGTACCAGTAACTTGTGTGTACATTTAAGTACCAAAGGGACTGACACAGTTTTACAGATATAACCCCTTCAAAAACTAGCTTCTAGTGCAAGAGAACAATAAAACTGAAAAATAGCATTTCTGCTGTTTACTAGTTCAACTATAATTTCCTTCTCATTTAGTGTGTTTGTATATATTAGCAAATGTTTTTGTAATATGTTTGTTGTTTTTTTAATGGGCATGACTATGGATTCAGGGACCCCTAGTCACCCAGGGGGCAGAAGAGTGGAGGGGGCATGCCATTATTTGGGGGGCTGGGCAATACAATTTTTTAAATGAGCTCCAACCAACCTTTATTTGGTAGAACAGGGGGAACACCAATTTTTACTTTCAGGGCCCCCTCCTGCCGCCAATGGATGAGGGGTGGTGGGTGGGGCACTAAGTCCTTTCCCATTAATATTTTACTAGCTGCACCTGCTGACCAAGGTTTTACAGGTGTAATATAAGCATGACCCCTGCCATTTGTTTTGTAAAATAGCACCACCCAATGCCCACGGATGGGGTCTGGTTGATGGGCAGTGATCTGTCCACCCCCTATTGTGTATTTAGAAGTCCATTGGTGAGTGCAAGTGGAAGGGGTCTATTTATGTAATTTTAAGATCCCCATTCCCATAATCATAAAATAACTTTTTGTAGCATGCACCTCCACAATGACTGACAGGTGGGCTGACGAAAAGGAAGTAGGAGGAGTGGGTCTTAAATGCCCAAATAAAATAAAATATCACTTTTTAGTATCAAAACATGCTTGCATTTAATTGTGTACATTTCCACTGGGAGTATATCCCCTGTGCAAAAGCTATAAATCTACTGTATGCAGCCATTACAAGCCCCCCCCACACTCCCTATTTTCCCATCTCGGACATCCTATGGATTCCGATCATAGACTTCCCAATGCAGCTCAATATGAACGCTTTGCAAGACAGTCATGCTTGACTCATGACTTTTGTTGTAAATGGGGATAAAAAAAAAAAACAGTAGTAACAGGATCGGTTGCCTGATGGGGGAGTATAACAAGGTTAATTTAAAAAAGAGACAATTTCTATTAAAATCTGCACTCTTTGTCAAATGTAAAACACTTTCACACATAAAATGCTTCAGCAAACTGAATTGCTTTACATGTTTGGAGTATTCCTTTAACGGTCTACTTACCTATTCTGGAAGAATGCAGCTTCTAATTCCTTTGGTGTACTCCCACATTCTCTCTAGCTATATTCTCAATGCATCAAATTGTAACCCCAATTTATTGCTCAGCCATACACTAAATTCATCATACTAGATCTATTATTCTCCACATGTCAAGCCTCTCCCAAATGGTATCTCCCTAAATCCCTATTTACCTAGTTCATCTCATAAGCGTATTCAACCAGCCAAACATTTATCTCATTGCTCTTTCTTCCCCATCCATGTCCATTCCATCTTACTCGTGTCCTTTTCCTTCCTTCTCCCTAAATATGTACACTCATTCTGCTTCCTGTTTAATCCTCTCCCCTGTTATTAACATACATTTTAAGGTTCATTTATCTCCTCTACAGACATAGATTGTAAACCGGAAGAGGAAGTCAGATTGTGAGGCATAAAATGGCAAAGAGTGTAGATGGCAGGACAATTGTTCCTCTCTTATCTTGTTCATAATGCGTGTCCTGAGGTATAGGGACAGGCAACATAGCAGCTAATGAAACAAATTGGTTCCTTTAGACACATTCAGCATGACACATTTATTGAAGTTATGTATAGTGTGGGTGTTTTTTTCAGCATGTTTCTGGCCACCTCTGGTGTTAGCCAGAGGGTTTGGTACTGGTGAATGAAATACCTAAATGGGAATTTGCTACAACTGAATTTCCAATTGCCATTGGCTAGTGAGTGGGTGAAAAGTCTCTTAATATATTATGAGTACAATCCATTACCTGAAATCTATCTTCTGATACGATTCACAAATTGTAAGTATGTATCCACTACATAATGCATCTAAAAATGAAACAATGATTTAAGATGAGTTAGTAACTAATTTTGTTTTCTTTTCTTTTGTTTTTATTGGTCCACCTAATTCAGGTCATTACCAACTATTTAGTTAATTAATGCTGTAGATTCTAATCAAATGGACTTAATATTCGTCTCTTGTATATTATTCATTAGAAATAAAGGGTTAACAAAAAGTATTTAACTTTTTGAATTATGTAAATTAAGTTGAATTAAGAGTAATAGTCAAATAGATAACAGTGATTAGGTATGTAGGATTGTTAAAGGGGCACCATCACGCATTCAAAACACCTTCATCTGTCATCATTAGAGCTGTCGCGAACCGTTCGCGAACTTCCCACCTAACGGCTCGCTGCGGTTAGCTCCGGTCAGCTGACACATCCCGGCCAATCTCCAGCAGACCCTCCCTCCCAGACCCTTCAGCAGACCCTCCCTCCCAGACTCTCCCCTCAGCATCCATATTGAAGGCAGCTTCAACATGGATGCTGTCCAGGAGGTGGGAGGGTCTGGGAGGGAGGGTCTGCTGGAGATTGGCCGGAATGTGTCAGCTGACCGGAGCTCGCCACGAACGGTTCGTGGCGAACCGTGGCGAGCCGTTCGTGGGCAGTTCACGAACGGTTCGCGACATCACTAGTCATCATGCATGATATTTGCATTATATAAAATAAAATCAGCTAAAAATCAAATGAATACACTTATTAAGTAAGGCAGATAAATGAGAGGCACTACTTACATCAATTACAGATCCAGTGGAAGGGGCATTGCTGGGTACTTTTTTGTGACATTGAGGCTATAACTTTGCTTAGAGTTTCACAAGAAAATAGAGCTATATAATATACTCACTCATATTGCTGGTTGCCATGAGTTTTATTCTTGTTGACTTGTGCACAGTACCTCAAAGTGGGCAAACATTTTTCCTGAAAGCAGAACATTTTTTTAAGAGACATGAATTTTGGCCTAATGTCAGTTCGGCTCAACAGAATTTAAGAACTGACATTCCGATTTGGAAACTACATTAAAAGAACAGAAAAGGCACAAAAATGGGCCAATCATTGTGCTGTAAAATATAAACAACATATAATATTATGTAAACGTTTTGCATTACTCCACACCATTTGGTTTAGAGATTAGTGAGCAAAACTAGAGTAAAAACAGTAAAAACAGGAAACAAATATATATTTATATGTAGGGTATTTATATTTTATATTTAATAAATATATACATATAAAATATAGATTTTTTTTTTATAATTAGTTTTTTGCTACTCCTCCATATTATCCTTGTATTTCTCATCTGTGAATAAAATCAACATTTAGTGACTGTCTGCTAACCATCAATCATCTTTTATTGGAGCTATGTGTTGAATTCAGAATCATGATCCTGGACCGAATATGTTCAGCATTGCAAATTTTGAATGGTCTGTTAATCAGGTACACTTTGGCCAACTTTCTGCAAAATTGCAGTTTGGAACAAAATTAATTTCTAAGTCTAATTATTATTATTGATTATGGTGCTGCTTTACAATGGCTGGAAATTTCCAGTGGGCTACCTCTGCTAAGATGGATGGATGGATGGATCTCCGAGTCTAGTCTATGCACTTCACGGAGAAGCCTCTAAGAAAGTATAATTATTCAGTATATTGAAAAGCAGTAGGACTGAATATATGAAAAAGTCCAATACTTCAAAATAACACTTCTGAACTAAAGCACTATGTCTCAGTATGTCTCTAGGCATATTTGGAATTATGCATTGAAAGGACAAAATAAAATATGCTATATTTCTAGCAACTGAAATATGGAATCTGGGGCTTATATTAACAAACCATAGGTCAAATTAAATAAAGTTGAGAATATGTGTCTGTATTTTTCCAGCTTGACTTGTTTTTTTTATAGACTTACACATCAATTTACTAAAACCCAATGTTGTACTAGTATGTTTCACTTCATGGTTACAACAAAAATCCATTCTACTAACTGGTGTATATTAGTTAGTTAAAGGTTCTAAGTACAGAGCAAGTGCTCCATAAGAAATACGCAGAAACAGAGATGCTATTTATTATAGTTTCATGAGTTAAAAAGTCATTTTTGTGGTGTAAGAGCAGCAAAATGAGCTGCTCACTCATGTGGTATTGAAAGTGAAATGTGGACAAGACTGGTAACTCAACTTCTGAGTCAAACCAATTTCCATTGTACTCAGACTGTGGAAAGCTGAGTTAAAAACCTAGTCCCAAAGTAGTATTAAGGTATCATAGAGAAGATGTAATAGAATTATGAACAATAGTGTACATTCCTAAAGATCTAACATCATCCAAAGTCACCCCATGCATGAGCACCCTCATTCAGACACAAAAACACACACATACACACATACAATGTACTTCAATGCCTTCTAGGGATTTACATTTTGGTCACACTTGTCTCCTGGCACTCCAAATATAGTGTATGATAAAACTGGATTCCAGAATGAGCATTTAACCAGGCAGTTGAATAGTAGATTGAAACAAATAAACATTTAAGTAGATGGCGCTTTCAAGAGCAACAAGGATTCCTGTTACAAAATAAAAACAATAAAAAATAACAAATACTCTGTTTCGTAGAAAGCAGTTATGTAGACAATGTCACACTCATTCTGTTGATAGAACACATAGATCCTAACTAAGTGTATCTTTAGGGTTAAAAATTGTTGCTAAAAATGTAAAAGGTATTAAACAGAAAGTTAAGATGACAATTTGAAATTGTATCACATAGTTAAACCAAATAGAAAAAAGTAAGGTACAACTCTATAGAGGATAAAATCTGTATATTAACAATATTTGTTCTGAAGATAATTTCATGGTAGCATTAATAAACAATTACCCCTGCACAGCCTCTCCACCACACTACCCTAGTCATAGCGCTTCACACCACTTACCCCGTCACAGCTCTCCACCTCACTTCCCCTGTCACAGCCCTCCGCCCCACTTACCTGTCACAGCCCTCCACTCACAACTGTCACAGCCATCCACCCCACATGCCCCTGTCACAGACCCTCCACCCCATTTAACCCCTGTCACAGCCCTCCACCCAACTACCCCTGTCACAGTCCTCCACTCCACTTACCCCTGTCACAGCCCTCCACTTACCCCTTTCATAGCCCTCCACCCCACTTACCCATGTCACAGCCTCTCCTCCCCACTACCCCAGTCACAGCCCTCCACCCCATTTACTCCTGTCACAGCCCTCCACCCCACTTACCCCTGTCCCAGCCCTCCACCCCACTACCCCTGTCACAGACCCTCCACCCTACTTACCCCTGCCAGAGCCCCTGCACCCTACTTACCACACACAGCCCTCTACCCCACTACCCCTGTCACAGACCCTCCTTTAACCTTACCCTTGTCAAAGCCCCTCCACCCTACTTACCCCGGTCACAGCCCCTCCACTCCCCTACCATGTCACTGCCCCTCCACCCCCTCTACACCCTGTGACAGACATTTAACCCCCCTCTACACCCTGTTAGAGACATTTAACCCCCTATACACCATGTTACAGCCCCCTGTCACAGCCTCCTACCCCCTAACCTGTTATAGTCACCCCCTGGCTTCCCAAGCCCCCCACCCTGTCACAGACCCTCATGTCCCACTACCCCCTGTCACAGCCACCCAACACTCCACCATTTCCTAGCTCCTTAAGCCCCACACCCTGTCACAGCCCCTCCAGTCCACCTACCTTGTCACATACCCTTCACCCCACTTACCCCTGTCACAGCCATTTAGCCACCCTCTACACCTTGTCACAGCCCCTCCACCCATTACCCTGTCATAACCCCTGAAGTCCCCCTACCCCCTGTCACAGCCACTAAACTCCCACATTTTCATAGCCCCTTAAGCCCCCCACCCTGTCACAGCCCCTCCAGGCCCCCCTTCCTTGTTACAGCCCCCCTACCATGTCACGGCTCCCCTCACCACGTCACAGCCCCCTCCACCCTCTCACAGCCACGCCTATCCCCCCACCCTGTCACAACCTCCTAACCTCTTATAGTCACCCCCTAGCCTCTTAAGCCCCCCTAGCCTGTTACAGCCCACCCACCTTGTCACAGCCCCCTACCATGTCACAGCCCCTACTCTGTCACAGTCACCCATATCCCGTCACAGTCCTTCCACCTTGTCACAGCCCCCACACCCTGTCATCCCACACCGTCATCTTGTCACATCCCTGTCACACTCACTCTTTCACATTAAGGCCTCTAATTCTGCCCCTGTAATCTTGTCACACTCCCCTCATTCTGTCACACTTCCTCCTCCAAATATGACACATTCACCCCAACCTGTGATACACCCCCAACAATGTGACATTCATCCTGTCACATTAACGTCCTCCAATTCTGTCACACTTACTTCCCCTTGCCCTGTCACACTCCCTCCTCCAACCATGTCACAATCGCCCCTCTTTCATTCTCACTTTCCCTCATTTGGTCATGCTCAGTTCTCCAATCCTGTCTTATTTACCACCCTCCCACTGTCACACTTACGCGGCCACTGTTAAGCCTTTACTCACCTTGTCACAGTCACAAACTGAAGACATTCATTATACACACACACACATGCACAAAAGTCACAGGCAGCCTCCATAAACACAATACACCCCAAGCAGCTACCCCACACACATACGGTCCCAGACACATACTCACAAAGACATACATTCACACACAAGAATACTATCAGTCAGACACACACTTTCAGGCACATACACAGATAGACAATGCTACACACACTCAGAAATACACACACTGGCACTAATATATACAAGGCTGCAAGGCTATGTAACCATAGTCCGCATTTGTGTATAAATGATTAACATAATTTCTAATTAAATTTGTTTATTGCAAATTAATTTTGTTTGCAAATTATGCCATAACTACAGTCAGAGAGCTCACAACGCAGTGGCACAGGGAGCTGTGACACTGCAAGCCTCTGAACAATGAATACAGAGACTAGCTCTCTGTATCCAGCTCTGCAAGCTTGTCTTTCAATATAACTACAGCACCTTATACACACAATGCACTCCCTATATTGTTAGTGGGGGCCTCAGTTTTGTCTATGGCCTCACAAAGTCTAGAACTTCCACTGTTTATTTGTGGAATTTAAAGGAACACTATAGTCACCTAAATTACTTTAGCTAAATAAAGCAGTTTTAGTGTATAGATCATTCCCCTGCAATTTAACTGCTCAATTCACTGTCATTTAGGAGTTAAATCACTTTGTTTCTGCTTATGCAGCCCTAGCAACACCTCCCCTGGCTATGATTAATAGAGCCTGCATGAAACAAAAAACTGGTTTCACTTTCAAACAGATGTAATTTACCTTAAATAATTGTATCTCAATCTCTAAATTGAACTTTAATTACATACAGGAGGCTCTTACAGGGTCTAGCAAGCTATTAACATAGCAGGGGATAAAAAAATCTTAATTAAACAGAACTTGCAATAAAGAAAGCCTAAATAGGGCTCTCTTTACAGGAAGTGTTTATGGAAGGCTGTGCAAGTCACATGCAGGGAGGTGTGACTAGGG